ATCACCAGGCCTTCCAAGTCTGTCTTAGGTCAGGAGTCTGCTGAAATCTGTTCAGTAGCATAGCAACACACAAGCCTTCAGTGACAGACGGGTAGTGACTGCACATGAAGTGCATTGGCCTGGAATCACACCAGGTCTCCCACATACTAGGTCAGAATTCTACCACTGAACTATCAATGCCTACCTGGCATCTAGATAGCTTCAAATGTGCTTTGATTGTGGAAAGACAGGCATTAGGATTGCTGTGGTTGTTGTTAGGTGCCATCGAGTCGGCTCTGACGTGTACCAACCCTACATACAACAGATCGAAACAATGCCCAGTCCTGTGCCAGCCCCACAATCCTTGCAATACCAGTGCCCATTGTTGCAGCCACTGTGTCAATCCATCGTGTTGAGGGTCTTCCCCTTTTTTGTTGAGCCTCCACTTTACCAAGCATGATACCCTTTTCCAAGGAATGGTTCCTTCTGACAACATGACCAAAGTAGATGAGATGAAATCTGGTCATTCTTGCTTCCAAGGAACATTCCAGCTACTTTTCTTCCAGGACAGATTTGTTAATTCTTATGGCAGTCCATAGTACTGTCAGTATTCTTCTCTAGTACCACAACTCAAAAGCATCAACTCTTCTTCGGTCTTCCTTATTCATTGTCCAGCTCTCACATGCATATGAGGTGATTGAATATACCATGGCTTGGGTTAGGTGCACCTTAGTCTTCAAGGAGATCTTTGCTCTTCAGCACTTGAAAGAGGTCTTTTGCAGCAGATTTGCCCAATGCAATAAATTGTCTGATGTCTTGACTGCTGCTTTCATGGGTGTTGACTGTGGAACCAAGTAACCTGAAATATTTGACAACTTCAGTCTCTTCTCCATCCATCATGATACTGTTTATTGGTCCAGTTATGAAGATTTTTTTTTATGTTGATGTGTAATCCATACTGCACACTGTAGTCTTTAATCTTTACCAGTAAGTGCTTCAAGTCATCTTCGCTTTCAGGAAGCAAAGTTGCATCATCTGCATATCGCAAATTAATAATGAGTCTTCCTCCAATTCTGATGCCACATTCTTCTTCACATAGTCCAGCTTCTTGGATTATTTGCTCTGCATACAGATTGAATAAATATCATGAAAGGATACCACCCTGATACACTCCCTCCTCAATTTGAAACCATGCCCACTTGTTCTGTTCAAATGACAGCCTCCTGGTCTATGTACAGGTTCCTCATGAGCACAATTAAGTATTCTGGAATTCCCATTCTTCTCAGTGTTATCCATAATTTGTTATGATCCACACAATCAAATGCTTTTGCATAGTCAGTAAAACACAAGTAAATATCTTTCTGGTATTCTTCGCTTTCAGCGAAGATCCATCTGGCATCAGCAATGATATCTCTCGTTCCATGTCCTCTTCTGAATCCAGCTTGCATTTCTGGAAGTTCTCAGTCAATATATTGCTGCAACCATTTTGAATTGTCTTCAGTAAGATTTTACTTGTGTGTGATATTAATGATATTGTTCGATAATTTTCACATTGTGTGGGATCACCTTTCTTTGGAATGGATACAAATATAGATCTCTTCTAGTCAGTTGGCCAGGTAGCCATCTTCCAAATTTCTTGACATAGCCAAGTGAGTGCCTCCAGCACAGCATCCATTTGTTGAACATCTAAATGGGTATTCCATCAATTCCTGGAGATTTGTTTTTCACCACTACCTTCAGTGCAGGCTTAACTTCATTCAATACCATTGGTTCTTGATCATATGCCACCTTCTGAAATGGATGAAGATCGACCAATTCTTTTTGGTACAGTGACTTTGTGTATTCCACCAATCTTTTGATTTTTCCTGCATCATTTAATATTTTGCCCATAGAATCTTTCAATATTGCAACTCGAAACTTGGATTTTTTTCTTAGTTCTTTCAGCTTGAGAAATGCGAAGCATGTTCTTCCCTTTCGGTTATCTAACTCCAAGTCTTTGCACATTTTATTATAATAATTAACATTGTCTTCTCATGATGTTCTTTGAAATCTTCTGTTTGGCTCTTTTATCTTGTCATTTCTTCCACTTACTTTCGTTACTCTCTGTTCAAGAACAAGTTTCAGAGTCTCTTCTGACATCCATTTTGGTCTTTTCTTCCTTTCCTGTCTTTTGAATGACCTTTTTCTTTCCTCATGGATGATGTTCTTGATGTCATCCCACAGTTCCTCTGGTTTTCAGTCATTGATGTTCAGTGCATCAAATCTACTCTTTAGATGGTCTCTAAATTCAGGAGGGGTAAAATCAAGGTCATATTTTGGCTCTCGTGGACTTGCTTCAATTTTCTTCAGCTTCAAGTTGAACTTGCCTATGAGCAGTTAATGGTCCATTCCACAGTCAACTTCTGGCCTTGTTTTGGCTGAAGATATTGAGCTTCTCCATTGCCATGCTCCACAGATGTGGTCGAACTGATTCCTGTGTATGCCATCTGGTGAAGTTCACATGTATAGCCACCATTTATGTTGTTGAAAAAAGGTATTTGCTATGAATAAGTCACTGGTCTTGCAAAATTCTGTCATGTGATATCCAACATCATTTCTATCACCAAGTATTAGCCATATTTTCCAACTACTAGTGATTCTTCTTTGTTTCCAACTTTTGCATTCCAATCAGCAATAATAATCAACACATCTTTATTGCATGTTTGGTCAATTTCAGACTGCAGAAGTTAGTAAAAATCTTCAGTTCCTCATCTTTGGCTTTGGTGGTTGGTGCATAAATTTGAATAATGGTAGTATTAACTGGTCTTCCTTGTAAGCGTATGGATATTATCCATTGCTGACAGCATCATACTTCAGGATAGATCTTGAAACATTCTTTGTGATGTTGAATGCCACACCATTCCTCTTCAATTTGTCATTCCTGGCATAGTAGATCATGTAGTTGTCTGATCCAAAATGACCAAAACCAGTTGATTTTAGCTCGCTAATGCCTAGGATATAGATCTTTATGCATTACACTTCATTTTTGACAACTTCCAATTTTCCTAGATTCCTACTTCATACATTCCATGTTCCAATTATTAATGGATGTTTGCAGCTGTTTCTTCTCATTTTGAATCATGCCACATCAGCAAATTGGGGTCCTGAAAGCTTTACTCCATCTATATCTTTCATTCAGATTGACTCTACTCTGAGGAAGCAGCTCTTCCCCAGTCCTATTTTGAGTGCCTTCCAACCTCAGGAGCTCATCTTCTGGCACTCTATTGGACAGTGTTTTAGGGGTATGCATAAAGTTTTCCAGTAATATATGAGATAGTAGTCACTGCTATTCAGAAGATTTTCACTGGCCAATTCTTTAAGAAGTGGATATCCCCTTCCTTCTTCCAAGTCTTTCTTAGCCTGGAAGCTCCACTGAAACCTGTCCACCTTGGTGACCTTACTGGTATTGAAATATACCGGTGGCATAGCCTTGAGCTTCACAGCAACATGCAAGCCACCACAGTACGACAAACTGACAGAAGAGTGGTGGGGCATTAGGATTATCCTTGATAAGTTCTGATCATGACCAAGGCACCTCTAACCAAAACCAAACCCAGTGCCATTGAGTTGATTCTGATTCATAGTGACACCCCTGGATTTCTGAGGCAGTAAATCTTTATGAAAATAGATTGCCCCATCTTCTGTCCTCAGAGTGGCTGGTGGGTTTGAACTCTCAACCTTCTGGTTAACAGGCAAATGCCTTAGGCACTGCGCCACCAGAGTTAAGGCACCTCTAGTGACTAGTAACAATGAATAGTCACCAGAGAATACACAACTATTCTTCCCTTCATGAGTGGATCGCTTATCGCAGTTATTCCTTATCTGACTAAAGTGATTTCATAAGATGCACTGTACCCTTGTGCCTCTGCTTTCTATAGCCTGTTTTCCTGAGGTTTTAATTTCTCACCAGTTTAGGGGACCAAAGAACAGTTTTCTTCAGACACCAGGGACACAACTCAGGCCCTAGAACCATCTTCTACTTTCCTAGAATCACACCTCATGCATGACTAAAGTTTTAGATGGTTTCTTATTCAGTGTGTACTGAATTGCTTTACAGGATTTCAGAAGAGCAGCATCTTGGTTTCCTTTTCCAAATGAGTATCTTTGCCAGGAAGCTTAAGTGACAGGGGTGGTAAATCTCAGGTAAAGCAAGGTGTTGCATAGCCCTCCTTTCTATTTAAAAGTTTGCTGACATCAATGAAGACTTCATCTTCCACTTGAGTGTTTTTCTCATCTTTTACTAATAAAACAACTATGTGTTTGGCTTGGCATTCAATTCAGAAAGCATATTAGAATTTAAGTACCAAGGTTTCAGAAGTCCAGACTACTCTTCCCAAAGAGTAAAATGTGCAATCAAGATAACATGACATGCATGCAAATCTAAAAGTACACTCTTCAAGTATTGAGAATTAGTTTGTCCAATCTCCCACAATTCCTTCGCTTCTGTCCCCTTGAAAACTAACAAATCATTGGCTCAAAATGGTAACCAAACTGTAGGCATCTTTCTTGAAGAAAAATACTTGCATTTAAAAGCTACAGTTTTATTTTATGTAAAAACAGTTTAAAGCCATTATTGCTATGGCCATAATTAAGGGTGGGATACTGTTCATCAGAGTTTGCCTGCAATGAAATGATCTTGACAAGGTTTATGTTCCTCCTGATGTATGTGTGTTATGCCTGCCTTCTAATGGGTTAATCATCTTGATTCTTATATTACCTAAAACACAAAGGGAATGGTAGTGAGCTTAGAACAGTATTCTTAAACTTAGATTTACCCAGCGAGGTTTTAAAAATCCTCATACCCTGGCTGCAATCCAGACTAATTAATCCAAAAACCCTAGAGGGGCACCCAGTCCTTGGAATTTTTTAAGTCCCCAGGTGATTCCAATGAGCAGCCCATCTGAGAACCAGTGGTTTAATAAAAGATCTATTATAATGAGCAGACAAAATTTAACACATTTCTGTCTAACATCTGTTTCCAGTTGTTTCGACATGGAGACCGAAGTCCCATTGAAACCTTTCCTAACGACCCCATTAAAGAATCCGCATGGCCCCAAGGATTTGGCCAACTCACACAGGTATGTTGGATTTTCAGCTAAAGGCTGTGGATAAGTCTCCAGGAGAAATGTGTATAGAGTTGTTTGTTTCGATATTTATTACTCTGTTGGCTTTATTAAAACTTAAATGATATGAAAAGAATATATGAGCTTAGAGATGCTAAGAGAGCAAAGAGGTACTTACAAACTAGATTTACTGGAGCAAGTATAAAATAGTCTTGTGTTCAGTAAGCTAAATCAACAGGGTTGGGAAAGCCTGATTCCTCTGAAAGTGCTGGTAACAGAATTTGATTTCTTGTCAGCTAAATATATTTGGATTAGCCTTCCTGATAAATTATCAGATAAACACAGGGCTTCCCACCTCTTACAGAGCACATGAGGAGGAAGTGAACTGGGTAAAGAAGGCATCTGCTGCCACCGTTGCAGTGTTTTTTTTTTTTTTCCTCTATCCACCTTGACTTGTAAGAGTGGACAACTCTTCTATTTGGAGTCACAGATCAGGTGTTTTGCTTCTGCTCAGTCCAAAAGCACCATTTAAATACCTTAAGATAATGTCATAGAATGTTTAGAGTTGATGTCTCCAAAACTGTGGGTTTTAATCTTGGCTAAACATTGGAATTATTTAGAGTAAAAAATATTGATGTCTGTCTAACCAAAACCAAACTCACTGCCATCGAGTCGGATCCAACTCATAGCGACCGCTCCTTAGGTTTCCGAGGCAATATCTATAGTATAGTATCTATAGTAGAAATAGATTTCCCAATCTTCCTTCCTCCGAGTGGCTGGTGGGTTTGAACCACCTGCCTTCTGGTTAGGAGTCATATAAATGCCTCAGGCACTATGCCACCAGAGCTCCCGATGCCTGTCTAGGAGAGTCTTATTTAATTGGTGCAGCGTGTGTCCTGGGCATTGGAATTTTTAGACACTCCTCAATTTGTCTCTTGATTCTAATGTGTAACCAAGGCTGAGAAGTACTGCCCTAACTCAACCCAATGTTTCCTAGACAAGAAACTGAACTCAGAGAGGTTATTTGAGGTCAGCATCTTCTGTCTTCCAGGTCACAGCATTTCCCACTAAAGCCTATCGAGATTCTGGCTCTTTCAATGAGAAAAGTGTTATAAAACTTCAGATTTGCTTCTTGATACCTATGTCTCTTAGAGACCCTGGTTCTTCTGCTCTGTTTTCCAATAAGGTAAAAAGATTCTTCTGGACTGTAAGATTTGGATTCTTCTGGGAGTTCTTAACTAGCCATCAGATTTTTCTAGAGCAGTGTTCTTCAAATTTCCATGTGCAAATGAATCACTTGAAAATCTTACTAAAATGCAGGTTCTGACTTAACAGGTTTGACATGAGACCTGAGATTCTGCATTTCTAGCAAACTACCAAGTGATGTTGATGCAGCTGGTACATGGAGCATTCTTTTTCTTTTTTTTTTTTAAGATAACATTATTTTTTTGACATGGGTCAATGCATTTTTTCCCCCAGTGTTCCCTCTCCTCTCCTCCTGCCCCTGGTAAGCAACAAAGAAAGTTTCCTTCCATATATGAACTTTTCCTTGACTTTTTACAATAATGAACTAATACTATATTTGTCCTTCTGTGATTGACTTATTTCACTCAGCATAATGTCCTCCAAGTTTATCCATGTTATGTGGTGTTTTGCAGACTCTACATAATTCTTTGTTATTGTTATGTGCCGTCGAGTCAGACCTGACTCATATGACCCCTCCTTGGGTTTCCGAGGCAGTATCACTATTGAAGTAGATTGCCCCATCTTCCTTCTGAGGAGTAGCTGGTGGGTTTGAACCACCAGCCTTCTGAATAGCAGTCAAGTGCCTTAGGCACTATGTTACCAGAGCTCCTACATAACTCTTTAGTGTTGCATAGTATTCCATTGTGTGTGTGGACCATTGTTTGGTTATCCATTCTTCTGTTGATGAGCAGGTAGGTTGTTTCCATCTTTTTGCTATTGTAAATAGTGTGGCTATGAACATGGGCATGCATAGATCTCTTCTTGTCCTGGCTCTCACTTCTTTAGGATATATACCTAGTCATGGGATTGCTGAGTCAAATGGTATTTCTTATTCCAGCTTTTTAAGGACTTACCATACTGGTTTCCAGAGTGGTTGTATCATTTGACAGTCCCACCAGCAGTGTATGAGAGTCCCAATTACTCCATATCCTCATCAGCATTTGTTATTTTCTGTCTTGTTGAACTTTGCCATTAGTGCTGGCATGAGGTGGTATCTCATTGTTGGTTTGATTGGCATCTCTCTGATAGCCAATGATCATGAGCATTTGTTCATGTATTGGTTGGCCGCCTGAATATCCTGCTTGGTGAAGTGTCTATTCATGTCTTCTGCCCATTTTTGAATTGGATTGTTAATCTTTTTGTTGTTGAGGTGTTGGTTTTAAATTTTCTATAAATTTTATTTTCTATACATTTTAAGTCCCTGTCAGATATGTCATTGCCAAATATTTTTTCCCAATCTGTAGGTTCTCTTTTTGCTCTTTTGGCAGTGTAATTATAGACAAGTATGAATTTGTTGCTGTCAATTCATTATGTGCTTTTTCGTGGTGTTGCTGATTTCTTTGTTCTGTATAATTTTCTGTGCTGAACTCATTTTGTTTATGAATCATGTTATCACTTCCTTCATTACTATTGTTTTAGCATTTGCTAAATATTTGTGCTGGTCCTCTTTTTTATTTTGATGTGAAGGTTTATCATTTTTCTTTGAGGTTACCCTGTGATTTATAATTTTCTTCCCAAGTTTAGAACAGTCTGTTCTATCTTGCAGTTGTCTTGACTTCCCTGCCATTTAGAAGTTCTGTAATGACACAATTTTTTTCCTCTTCCTGGTTTGTAGTTGTCCTCATTTGCCAATCAGTGTCTCTGGTTCACATGGACTATTTTTGATGTAACAATAGACCAGAGCTCAAATTACTTCGCTGGGCCAAGTACCTCCAATCTCTATAATGATGAGGTGATGCATCTCTAGATGAAAAATTTTCAAAGAGTGGTTCCATAGACCAGCCATATCACATCACCTGAGAACCTGTCAGAAATGTAAATTCTTGCCCCACCCCAGACCCACTGAATCAGAAATTCTCAGGTTGGCAACAGCATCCTGTGTTTAGATGAAACCTTTTGGCAAATCTGTGCACATTAAAGTTTGAATACCACATTCCTCTATAGAGAAGAAGGACTCCTGGTGGCACAGTGGTTAAGTGCTTAGCTACTAATCAAAAGGTCAGTAGCTTTTTCAAACCCACTAGCTGGTCCACAGGAGAAAGATGTGGCACTGGCAGAGGTGGATTACCTTGTTTACCGAGTCCTCCATCCTTGTCAAAAGAGATAACCAAACCGACTGCCATCAAGTTCATTCTGACTCACAGCAGCCCCCTTTGGGTTTCCAAGGTGGTAAATTTTATGGAAATAGATTCCCTCATCTTCCTTCCACAGAGCAGCTGGTGGGCTTGAACTGCTGACCTCTGGTTAGCAGTCAAATGCCCTGGGCACTGCACCACCAGAATTCTTTACTCTGTCCTTGTCAGGGATTGTAAATTTGAAGAGGCTCTGACTCTGTAGGAAAGTGCTGTGGGGTTGGGAGAGAGAGATGCCACCATACCTAGAAGAAGATTCTTTGATGTAGTAAAAAAAAAAAAAAAAATGTGTTAATTGTCCACTACAGATTAGTTAGCAAGCACAGGTAAGCCTGTACTTACCTTGCTTATTGGGTAATCCTCTCCTGTGTGGCATTCTGCTCCCATAAAGATTTATAGCCTAGAAAACCCTTTGAAGAGGTTCTATTGTGCCCTATAGGGTTGCTATGAGTAAGAATTGACTCATTAGCAATGGATTCAGTTTTTAACTTTTGTTTTTATACAGAAGAGGACTATTTCCTCAAAAAACGAAACAACAACAACAAAAAAAAAAAAAACTCACTCCCATTGAGTCGATTCTGACTCATAACGACCCCTACTTGGGTTTCCAAGGTGATATCTCTAAGGAGGTAGATTGCCCAATCTTCCTTCCGAGGAGTGACTAGTGGGTTTGAACCACCATCCTTCTGGTTAGCGGTCAAATGCCTTAGCCACTATGCCAGCAGAGCTCCTATTTCCTCAAAAGTGAGCTGTAAATTAGAACAACAATTAGACCCAGAGTACCTCTCCAGCTACTCAGATCATCCAGGAAGCCCACAAACCTCGAAACACCTTATCCCTTTCTCACTCTCCATCCTAGATGGGCAGTGATCATAGTGGTGGCCAGGTGTGACAAGCAAATGCGTGAGTGGGATTGAGCTGTAGCCCCAACCACCACATCTGACTCATGAAGCTGTGGTGAGGCTCTGGATTAAAGACAAACTTTAAGGTAGTGTTTGAGAAAGCATGGTGCTCTAACACCTGCATCAGACTTTCTTGGCCACTTGTTAGAATGCAGATTCCAGCACCGCCCCCTCCCCAGGATCTAATAAGCTGGAATCTCTAGGGGATATACTGAAATATTTGCATGTCAACAAGCACCCTCAGACAATTTTGCTTCTGATGCATAGTAGTGCTTGAGGACCATTGTGCTAATGCATCACTTCTCAATGATTACTGTGCACCAGAGTCACTCAGAGAGCTTGTTAGAAATAGATTCCTGAGCTCCACCTCCCCAAAGATTCCGGCTCAGTAGATCAAGGGTCAAAAACAAACAAAAAACACTGCTTCTCAAAGCAATCTGTCGGGTTTCCAAGGCAGTTAATTTTTGTGGAAGTAGATTGCCCCATTGTTTTGGTTATCTAGTGCTGCTCTGGTAGCATAGTGGCTAAGGCACTTGACTGCTAACCAGAAGGCTGGCGGTTCAAACCCACCAGCCACTCCTCGGAAGGAAGGTTGGGCATTCCTACTTCCGTAATGATACTGCCTCGGAAACCCAAGGAGGGGTCGCTATGAGTCGGGGCCAACCCAAGGCAAACTACAACAACAACAACAGTGCTGCTCTGACAGGAATAGACCACAAATGGAATGGCTTGAACAAACAGGAGTTTATTCTCTAACAGTTTTGGAGGCTTGAAGTCTGAGTTCAAAGTGCCAGGCTCTAGAGGCTGGCTTCAGCTCTGCCTCCTGTTCCTGGCCCACTAAAGCTGGAGGCTTTTCTTCATTCAGATGACTGCTGACTGCTGAACCTGACAAACCCAAGGTTGACAAATGAAAAGGCAGAGTCCTGATCTTACCAAAAAACATGGCAGGCCACTAATTCAAGTCCAGAAAAAGTCCCAAGATTGGCAGGGCATGGCGGCTGCTGAACAATGACTCGGCTACTTGCAGGGTTCAAGTGTGCCAAAAAGCTCCAGATCTTCCTCAAAACTGCTTCTTATACACTGGAAGCAGAGCACATCTCTAAAGCAGCTACTCAGCTGCTCCAGTAGATTCCACCATGGAACTGATTGCCAATCTCACCATGGGGAATAACTACATCCAGCTACCCAGCCACTCAACCAGGCCCAGCCAAGTTGACACCCAACCTTAACTACCACACCCATCTTCCTTCCACAGAGCAGCTGGTGGGTTTGAACTGCCAACCTTCTGGTGAACAGTCAAATACCTTAGGCAGTGTACCACCCAAGCTCCTTAGGTCAAAGGTGGGCCCCAAGAATGTGATTTTTAATAAGCTCTCAGGAAATGACAATACTGCTTTGTCTACAGACCACAATTTGGGTATGAGGCTCTAATTTTTTTATGAACCAGTAATAAACTCTATAGATAATAAAACCATTGCACCCAGAGGATCTTAAGATTCATTTAGTCAACCTCTTATCAGATGGTTGAATTTGTCTACAGAATCCCCACCAAGTGGTCAGCCAGCCCCTGTGAATGCTTTACTAATAAGGATCTCACTACCACACCAGAAATGAACCATTTACTTAAATCAGACCAATCACCAACTATTTATCAATCACCTGCTATGTGCAAGGTGGGAGCTCTGGTGGAATAGTGCCTAAGGCATTTGACTGCTAGCCAGAAGTTTGGCAGTTCAAACCCACCAGCCACTCCTCAGAAAGAAGATTGGGCAATCTACTTCCAACCTAAGGAGGGGTGACTGTGAATCTAATCAACTCGACAACAGTGAGTTTGGTTTTTTTTTATGTGCAAGGTGATGTTCAGTGCTAATGAAGATAAGTGAATTTCCTCAAGGAGTACCAACTAAACTTTACAACTCTTCTTTTTGTTTAAATAGATGTTGTTTTTGTGGGGCTAGTAAAATATAAGTTGTTCAGTCTTCATGTACAGTGAGGAGAGATGAGACAAATTTCTATAATAATTTGATTCATAGAATTTACTTTCACTAATTTTTGCTTCCCCCCACCCTCAGGTTGGGATGGAGCAGCATTACGAACTTGGAGAATATTTGCGGAAAAGATATGAAAAATTCTTGAATAAGTCTTATAAACGTGAACAGGCAAGTTGGAGAGCTAAGAGCTTGACCCTTGAAAGAATTTGACATAATGGTACATATGTAAAAGCCCTTTGCCTTTTTCCCAAAGAATTTATACAAAGCAAAATTCTTGTTTATAAATGTACTCTTCTTTGTACAATATTTTGTTCCTAAAAACTTGTAGTGATAAGTGCAAAATTTCATGGAAGCCTATGTTAAATACTTGGGCTTGACAAGTAGCCACCACTTAATTAACCTCTTGTCAGTTAAACTGTTGGCCTCTTTTGTAACTAATTATCTCATTTAACAAATTCTTTCATCAATGATGCTACTATAATGTCTACCAATATTTGTGTGGAGCCTGTCCTTTCTCAAATACCCCATCAGCTCCATAAGAAAAAACAATACAGTCCCTCTCAGTTAGTTCTGCTTTGATTTTTCTTGTTCTAGGTTTATGTTCGAAGCACGGACATTGACCGGACTTTGATGAGTGCTATGACGAACCTTGCAGCTCTGTTTCCCCCAGAGGGCATCAGTGTCTGGAATCCCAACCTACTCTGGCAACCCATCCCAGTGCACACAGTGCCTATTTCTGAAGATGGGGTCAGTATATTGTGAAAACTGAGAGATTCCTCCTGGGCCTGGAAGGAGGAAGGAAGACAGTTCAGTACTTGTGAATTAGGACTCTGGACATGCCCTAAACTGTGTAGTCTTAATTTTCCCCAAATTTAGGGTGCAAAAGACAATGTAAGATGTGGGCAAAACTAGGGAAGAGACAGTAGGAACAGAATCTCTGTTTGGACGCTTTTCATCCACTTTGTTTTGCCACTCTTTCAACTTTTGGCAATTTGTTCCTCTCCATTTTTGCATACACACACACACACACACACACACACACACACACATGAATCTCCCAGTATTCTGCCTTCAGCTTCTCAGGTTTTTCATGTCCCACACAAGCTTTTTCTCCTTGCAGAATATAACAAGATCTCTCTTCCCATATACCACATCTGCCCCACCCCTGTGAAAATCCCCATTCCTAGCTAAAGGAAAGAAGAAAGGAAGATTTGAATGCATAACTGCTCCCCAACACTATATGTATCATCTTATTTACCCACTTCAATGGACAATATTATTGTTTTTGTTTTACAGCTAGTGAGATAAGGACCCAATGAAGAGTCAGATTCACTGCCAAAAAGCCGATCCCAACTCAGTGACCCTATAGAATAGAGTAAAACTGCCCTATAGGGTCTCCAAGGTTGTAAATCTCTACAGAAGCACAGTCCCTTATCTTCTCCTGCAGGGCAGCTGGTGGGTTCAACCTTTTGGTTAGCAACCAAATATTTTAACCACTGCACCACCAGAGCTCCTTGGATAACTGCACAGAGAGGTTAAATAACAAACAAAACTGGCCCAAAGTCACACAGCTGGTCAACATCACTACTGGATTAGAATAAGACCATTCTCATCCCAGAGCAATTTTCTTTCCTATAAACCATTCCTCAAACTTTTCATATTTCTATCACCTGAGGAGAGTTTTTAAAATCCCCAGGCCTAGAACACAATCCATAACAAATCAGAATCTCTGATTTGACACAGGCGCCAGTAGTTAAATCTCCCCAGATGGTTCCAGTGGGCAGCCAAGTTTGGGAATGAATACCATAAACTGAGCCAATAAGTGAGGCTATTTGAGAGAAATGCTCTCATTCATTTATCCAGAGTAGAACTGACCAAGAACTCATTAGCCTTTCAAGAGGAAGTTGTATTTTTAAAATAGTAATAAGTAATTTAATTAATCTCCTAGGTGTGGACTTTAATGCTGTATGAAGGAAATAGTTTGAGACAAGGAATCCCTCTTAATTCTCCTGTAATTACATAATAAATATGACTACCTCATCTTTCTGTTGATGACAGCGTGGCTACTGGACATGGATTTTTGCTCAGTGACTTTTAGCATAGGTCACAGCCCTCTTTGCTCTCCCAGTACTACTAGAAATTTGATTTAATGGCTGCATCTAAGGACTTAGGAATTTATCCAAAATGCTTTTGGGAAACAACCTTATCTTGTCAATCATTATAGGTAAATCTATTCCAATCAACTCTTCTAGGGTTCCCAAAAAGACTAGATAATTTATTTGTGCCTCTTGCTTTCACAGACTCCGGAGTGAAGTATTATGTTTATTAGCATTCTTAAGAGGTAGTGATTCCCCCCCCTCACCAAAAAAGGAAAAAAAAAAAAAAATCACTTTTGTCCCAGCCTTTTCGGCAGAGAGAAAGATTGGAGAACAGTACCAAATTTAGCCGATGTAGACCAAGGTAACAGCTTAACCCTTAATCCTGAAAGATAGTAAGTAATTAAGTTACATAGTAGAGAATACAGGAGCTCTGGTGGCATAGTGCCTAAGATTGCTAACCAGAAGGCTGGTGGGTTTGAACCTGTAGGAAGACTGGGCAATATATTTCCATAGAGATACTGCCTTGGGAACCCAAGGAGGGGTCGCTATGAGTTGGGACCAACTTGGTGGCAGTCAGTTTGGTTTTTTGTTTAGTAGAAAATATAGGTGCCATTAGAAGAAAGAGAGAAAAAAAAAAAAAGAGGAAGGGAGGGAGAAGGAGAGAGAGATTCACAAACAAAATTATCTATCCCTGACTTCCAGCCACCTACTTACCAAGATTGGGGAGTTGGGGGACACACAACTCTTTAACCTCAGTTAAGAAATCTAACAAAAGAAATCAACCCAAGGATATTCCCAGAATTGTGTTAAGTGCTGTAGAGAAATATGAGGCCAAGTTTCTTTCCTAATGTATAATCCATTTGATGAAAGGAGATTAACATGTGTGACACCTGAAGAGCATAATGCAAGATGGTGGATAGTGATTTCAAGTACAAACCGTATGTGCTAGAGGAATTCAGAGAATGGAACATACTTGGGGCTATAACAAGAATGCCATTTAAATCATGGAGAGAGTCAGAACTTGAACCAGACCTTGGAGGAAGAGAAGAAAGGAGAGGAAGGCAATACAAAACCATGTCAGTGCAATGAATATACAGTGTGATAGTCCTACTGTGTCTGGAGTTCATAGTTAGACATGGTGAAACTAAGCTTGGATAATACGTTGGGACAGATTAGAGTGCCCAAGTTTTTATACCTGAAAGGAAACTTGGAACTAAAAGACAGTGTGATGTTAGGAGGGCTAGATTTGAAGTTAGAAAACCTAGGTCTGAGAGCCAACTATCACTTCAGATGCCTGACCTTGAGCAACTCTCTGCAATTTCTTCTTTGTAAAAGAGGAACAGCAGCACCCAACTAACTTCTTGATAAGGATTTGTGAAAACTCAAGTTGGTTGAAGAATGGAAAAGACATTGTAAATTCAGGACAATTTTGTAGGTATTGATTCTATACATTTGCAGCCTGACTCTCTAATTTGAGAATACTAAACTCCAAGAAGTTTGAGTAATTAAAACCCAGGGCTTTTAATGAACAGTCCTGTGCCTTTCCATCAAAAATATGATTTCTCCTATGGAAGAACTTGAAAGCTGTGCAGGCTTTTTTTTTTTTTTTTTTTTTTGGTCAGCCAAGTGTGTCAACTGTTTGCACCACCCAGAAACACAAACAATAATAAGAGCTAACATTTACTGAGCATTTACTACATGCTAGGCATGATATTAAAAGCTCTGCCCTCATATCCTGTGTTATCATCACAAACATCACCTAGGATAGGTAATATTATCATTCTGATTTTGCTGGTGAGGAAACTGAGGCACAGACTAATTGAAATATCTCCATCTGGGTCACTCAACTGGGAGGTGGAAGGGCCAGGGTTCTTGTGTAGGCTCAGGGTTGAGTGCAGGGCCTACCTACTCACCGATCTGATCGGTCTTCCTCCTTCTCTTGGTTGGTGACTCCACTGTGTATTCAGTCATCTAGGTCAAAACAGAATTCTAGGCTCCTCCAAGCCTCTCCTTCTCCAATTCTAGTTAGTCGCAGGGTACTATATTGATAAATCAGCCTTCTGATTAGCAGTCAAATGCCTTAGGCACTACGCCATCAGCAGTCAGTTTTAAAATAAAGGCTAAGTCACTATGCGTGACTTCAGGATAAACTCCAAGCCAACTGGTGACATTCACCAAAGGTTTGGAAATACAGGGCTCGTCACAGACGGAAAGTAAAAACAACAAAATAAACTTAGTATCAATAACCTGTAGGTTATGGTTAAAAATACAAAAGTTGGTAAAATTTAAACTCATATTAGGATAGTCACTTAATTCTCACAATGTGTATTTCAATATATTCTTGTATATATTTAGTAAACACACTTATTAAAAGAAGTTCAAGGGAATGGATTAACTGACCTCTTAACATTGTTTCATGACCCCTAATTTACTTCTCTCTATGTGCTTGTGAGGATCTCTGGTGGAGTAGTGCCTAAGATATTTGACTGCTAACCAGAAGGCTGGTGGTTCAAACCCACCAGCCACTCCTCGGAAGGAAGGTTGGGCAATCTACTTCCATAGTGATACAGTCATGGAAACCCAAGAAGGGTTTGCTGTAAGTCAGATCCAACTTGATAGCAGTGCATTTGGTTTTGGTTTATGTACTTGTATGTGCCTATGTGTAGCTAGTGTTAGAAATGATTGGGGTTGGAGAGGAAGCAAGACTAACTGTTATCATTTCACATAGAAAACCAGAAAATGTGCATATTTACCAACAGTACACTTTTATTTAGTAAAGTTCACTGAAAAAGGTAGAAATTCTACTATTTTAAGAATTAAAAAATGAGGACTTCCTATGAGATGGCAGAATAGGCAGACAAGCTACACAGACCCTCTTCAACAAAGTAAAGAGAAACCAAGTGACAGAGATACAGAAGATAATCCTGGAGCCCTGAGCTTTGGAAGGAAGTATACAGAAATGGATTAGACACCAACTAGTGCAAAAACCTGAGTGAAAACAGTGAATAAGGAGATGGTCAGAGCAGTGGACTGTCAGCTACTCTGATGGAATCAACAGCCTGAATATTTCCAAGTGGTATTGGGACCTGAGAATTGATCTAAAGATCAGCCTTGGTCACCAAGGGCTGCAGGGACAACTGTGCTGGTGGTCTATGACTAGGAAGAAAAACAGCAAGGAGGTAGACAACCTGAGCTGTGATCTTTTGGCTGTCTAAAGGACGCAGCCATTTTTATTGTTTACAAGCAACAGCCATTTGGATATTTAAAATGACCAAGGGTAAAACCATTTTGAATGTTTACAAGTGGTGGCCATTTTGGATATTTAAAGTGACCAAGGGCACAGCCATTTTGAATGTTTACAAGAGGATTTTGGATTTTAAAGTGACAGCATTCTCATTCAGATTCCAGGGACCTAAGAATAGGCTCCATTTGCCAAGGCTGGGAGGGACATATAGGAGGCTGATAACAGGAAAGGAGACAGGTGGTGAGTGTAAAAGTGCTGCCAACTACTGAATAGAGGAGCACAGCACCGTATCCTGCTTACATAGATAACATACAAACAAAACAAAGAAAACGAAAATCATGGGCAAGTCACTCCAACATACAATCAACACAAAAATGTCAATGCCTCAGAGACAACAGAGCATCACAATCCACACAAAGAAGCAAGATAAAGCAGGAGAAACAAGGGACCAGGATATGGACCCAAAACACATCCCTGAGGAGGATGCAGCACTGGAACTCCCTGATAAGGAATTTAAAAGAATTATATTTAGGTACCTTCAATGAATTGAGAGGCAGATCAAGGAAAACACTGACAAAATCAAGGAAAGCAGAGAGAAAATCCTAGAACAATTTCAAAAGACAATACAAGAACAAAATAACAAAATAAGACACATGTAAAACCACAGAGAAAACTGTCAAAGATTTGTTGGAAGAGAATTTTCTGGTATGATGAAAGATGAGAATATATCCATTAAAGAAGTCCAATAAACTCCAAACAGGATAGACCCCAAAAGAAAATCACCCAAGACACATCATCATCAAACTCACCAAAACCAAAGACAAAGAAAGAATCCTGAAAGCAGCATAGGAAAAACGAAAAATTACCTACAAGGGGCAACCAATAAGACTAAGCTCAGATTTCTCAGCAGAAATCATGCAGGTGAGAAGACAATGGGATGGTATATATAAAACCCTGAAAAAGAGAAAAATTTCCAACCAAGAATTATACACCCAGCAAAATTGTCCCTCAAATATGATGGTGAAATTAGGAGATTTGCAGATAAGCAAAAATTAAGGGAATTTGTTAAAACTAGACCAATCTTACAAGAGATGCTAAAGGGAGTCCTTTGGACAGAGAATCAACAACAGCAAACAACAACTGACCATTAATACACATGATAATGTAACCCAGAAACCAACCAATTTTGGAAGTATCCAAAATCAATAAGCCTATAAGATTGTAAATAGGGAACCAAGGACATCAATTGACAAATGAGGACAACTACAAACCAAGAAGTGGGGAAAAATTGTGCAGTTACAGAACTTCTAAATGGTAGGGAAGTCAAGACAACTACAAGATAGAACAGACTCTTCTAAACTTGGGAAGAAAATTATAAATCACAGAGTAACCACAAAGAAAAATGATAAACCTTCACATCAAAATAAAAAAGAGGACCAGTACAAATATTTAGCAAATACTAAAACAATAAGGAGCTCTGGTAACGTAGTGCCTAAGGCACTTGACTGCTAACCAGAAGGCTGGTGGTTCA